CATAGAAAATCCTAAAGATGCTACCAGAAAACTACTAGAGCTCATCAATGAATGTGGTAAAGTTGCAGGATATAAAATTAACACACAGAAATCTCCTGCATTCCTATACACTAACAACGAAAGATCAGAAAGAGAAATAAGGAAACAATCCCAATGACCATTGCATCAAAAAGAATAAAATACCGGAATAAACCTACCTAAGGAGGCAAAAGACCTGTACTCAGAAAACTATAAGATACTGATGAAAGAAATCAAAGATGACACACAAACAGATGGACGATATACCATGTTCTTGGATTGGAAGAATCAACATTATCAAAATGACTATACTACCCAAAGCAATCTACAGATTCAGTGTAATCCCTACCAAATTACCAATGGCATTTTTCACAGAATTAGAACAAAAAAATTGTACAATTTGTATGGAAACACAAAAGGCCCTGACTAGCCAAAGAAATCTTGAGAAATAAAAATGGAGCTGGAGGAATCAGGTTCCCTGACTTCAGACTATACTACAAAGCTACAGTCATCAAAACAGCACGGTACTGGCCCCAAACCAGAAATATACAGCAATGGAACAGGATAGAAAGTCCAGAGATAAACCCACATACCTATGGTCAACTAACCTATGACAAAGCAGGCAAGGATATACAATGGTGAAAGGAAAGTCTCTTCAATAAGTGGTGCTGGGAAAACTGGACAGCTACATGTAAAAGAATGAAATTAGAACACTCCCTAAACCATATACAAAAATAAACTCAAAACGGATTAAAGATCTAAATGTAAGGCTAGATACTATAAAACTCTTAGAGGAAAACATAGAACACTCTCTGACATAAATCAAAGCAAGATCTTTTTTGAACAACCTCCTAGAGTAATGAAAATAAAAATAAACGAATGGGACCTAATGAAACTTAAAAGCTTTTGCACAGCAAAGGAAACCATAAACAAAAAGACAACCTACAGAATGGGAGAAAATATTTGCAAACAACGTGACTGACAAAGTATTAAACTCCAAAATATACAAATAGCTCATGCAGCTCAATAACAAAAAAAAAAAACAATCCAATCAAAAAATAGGCAGAAGATCTAAATAGACATTTCTCCAAAGACAAAGATGGCCAAAAAAGATGAAAAGATGCTCAACATCACTATTAGAGAAATGTACATCAAAACTACAATGAGGTATCATCTCACAATGGTCAGAATGGCCAACATCAAAAACATTTACTAACAGTAAATGCTGGAGAGGGTGTGGAGAAAAGGGAACCCTTCTACACTGTTGGTGGGAATATAAATTGGTACAACCACTATGCAGAATGGTATGGAGTTTCCCTAAAAAAACTAAAAACAGAGCTACCATATGATCCAGCAATCCCACTCCTGGGCATATACCCAGAGAAAACCATAATTCAAAAAGATACACGCACCCCAATGTTCACTGCAGCACTATTTACAATAACCAGGACACAGAAGCAACGTAAATGTCTATTGACATTTGAATGGATAAAGAAGATGCGGTACATATATACAATGGAATATTACTCAGCCATACAAAAGAATCAAATAATGCTATTTGCAGCAACATGGATGGACCTAGAGGTTATCATACTAAGTGAAGTAAGTCAGACAGAGAAAGACAAATATCATGATACCGCTTATATGTGGAATCTTAAAAAATGGTACAAATGAACTTATTTACAAAACAGAAATAGAGTCACAGAGGTAGAAAACAATCTTATGGTTACCAGGGACGAAAGAGGGGGAGGAATAAATTGAGAGATTGGGATTGACATATACACACTACTATATATAAAACAGATAACTAATAAGGACGTACTGTATAGCACAGGTGACTCTACTCAATACTCTGTAATGACCTATATGGGAAAAGAATCTAAAAAGAGTGGATATATGTATATGTATAACTGACTCACTTTGCTGTACAGCAGAAACTAACACAACATTGTGAATCAACTATACTCCAATAAAAATTAAAAAAAAAAAAAGAAGTAGGAAATGCAAAGGGAAAAGTTTCTGAAGAGAAAGGGCAGGAATCAGTGCTGGAATCGGCACTGGAGGAAATTAAGATGGAAATATCGCAAAGCTACAGAATGTAACACTTTGTCATCAGTTTAATCTTTGAGATAAGCAACTAAATTATATTATTCTTCCCAACCTTAACCTTACCTCATGGTTTAATATTAAAATTCTTTTTGGTAGTTTAGACAAAAGTCATATTTGATGGAAGAGATATTTATGTCATCAGTCCTCAGGGTCAAATACAGCCCACGCTGTCCCGCCAAGTCTAAGGTCGAGTCTATACAAATTACTAGACAAACCATTTTCCTGTGAATTTGTAAAGCTCAATAGTGGAGCCACCACTGGGATTTCTAGGTACGCTGATTTCAGTCATCTTAATAATGGAGTCGATTGACTACAGGATCCCATCGGTTGCCAGGCCATCACCTTTATTACCACAAGGAAAAATGAGTCAATTGAAAAAGGTCAATTTAGTCAGGCCATGTAGATCCTGTTAACTAGTTTTCTGGAATTAGACTCTTGTCATCAAATAAGAAAATACAGATGCACTGACTACAATAACAGAGGAGTTCTATCATAACTGTCCTCTTAAATTTAAATGGTAAAGATTCAATACATGCCTAAGTCATTGCCTACAGGTAACTTGGCTTTGGACTCAGAACTTCATTTCAGAGTTACTTTTTACTTTCAAAACTGATACAAAGTGGATATGGAGATAGGGAAAAGTCTAATTTTGCCTTCCAAATCTTGTCTTGCAGTATGTCTATGAAGAAACAGATAAACAATCCATGAATTTTTATCTATTTTTTTCTACCCATTAGGAAAGAGTAAGCCATATAATTTTACTTACTAGCTAAACAAGTTCTATCTGATCTCTGAGTATGTTTTGTCACTTGTAAAACAGAAATAAGATACCTGTAAATCAGGGCTGACCTACATGCTCTGCCTTCCTTAAAGGGCTGAGATAGGTAAAATGAACACTTTGAAGACTGTTTTCAAATCACACTTTTAAAATATCATTTGCTTAGATTACATTTTAATTTGGTTTACAGCTATCCATATTCCATTGTGCATCATGTAAGAAAAAAATTGGTAGGATTCCATTTTTACTACCTAGTGAAAATAAGGTTAGACAAAATCATCTATGTAGAACTCCAGCCAAAAATACTTAACATGAATCTAGTGAAACAATTAGTCAAAAACAGATTTGGGGACTTGCCTGGACTTTTCAAAAATGTTAGTGTCATAAAAAAAAAAAAAAGGCAAGAGAAGGGCACAATTTAGGTAAAAGGGAAACAAAAGACATAGTGATCAGATGCAATCTGTGACCCTTGATGGGGTCTTGGATAAAACAAAAAATAAAAATAAGAAAGAATATTTTGGGAATAACTGGGGCAATTTGCTCTGTATCTTAGATAATATTATTTTATCAACAATAAATTTATTGAGTGTGATAATAATATTATGGTTATGAAAGAAATGTCCTTGTTTTCAGGAGAAATATGCTGACATATTCTAGGAAAGAAATGTTATGCTGTATGCTGCTTACTTTCAAGTGGTTCGGAAAAAAAATTTTTTTAACTATCTAGAGAGAGCAAATGTGGCAAAATGTTAATAGCTGAAGAATCTAGGTGATGGGTATCAGGTTTTACTTTTCTCTTCTTTCAACTTTTCTGTACATTTGAAATTTTCAAAAGACTATGGGGGGGAATGAACACTGCATAAACAAAACAGAACAATGAAAAAATTGTATCAATTTTCCAATAATAAAATTATACTTTCATTAACCTAATTTTCTAAATGAAAATAAATTCACTATGTTATAATACTGAGGTATATTATTTAAGAGCAACATTAATCTTTCTTATACACAAAACAGACAAATTAAGTGGACTTAATTACATAGTAAAAAGGTCTCACTGAAGGATTTCCTTTGAGTAAAAAGTAGTGTCATTTCTAAAAGCAGGATAGAAACAGATCAAATGTTACTATTGCAAAGATCACAGAAATTAACTAAATCCTTATACACTAGCAGACCAGCATCTACATATTTTTTCAGGACATATAACTTTACATTTTTCCTCAAAAGATAACTTAAAGGCAAGTAGAACATGTATCTTACAGTTAACAGATGTGATGGCTCATATTTTATCATATACTTCACTTCAACCACTCTGAAGGTAAGCAAAGTAAAAAAACTAAAACGATTAATTGCAGTCCATAGGCAGAAAACATGACATTCTACTCTAGAAATGCCATTTTAACTCTAGAGTAGGAATGCTATAAAAAGAGGGGACAAAAATCCTCTAATAAACACTAGACTTGGATGATAGATGAAAACAAATTTAAGATTGTGAGATAAAGAAAATAAGCCTGCCTTAGACTGAAAACTTTTCCTACAGATTTTTGGGTGAAAACTTTCTAACTAAAATTTTATAATTTCCTTTGTATCAAACCAGTATATTTATGTGTATGTGGTATTCTAAACAGAATGTGAGGCTTTCTTGTCCTGGCAGAAGGTTGAACAACTGCCCATTAGCTCCATAAGAAATCAGAAAGTATACTCAGGAATTTCTTTTTATGGGTTCATTTAAGTATTAACTAGAAAGAGCATCATCGTTAACATGAGCTAACAATTTATGTTTTTATAATCTCTTAATTAAATAAATTCCTAAAAAATTTAAATACCCTGTTAATGTGGAGTTACATTCTCTGCTTTAAAATCTATTTGCTAGTATAGATTCCAATTACTATGTTTTCGGAGGAAATATATAGTATTTCCTTTACCAGATAAGCTCTATAAATGGAAAGAAAAATAAGAATATCTTTACGAACTAACCTAGTTTTAGCAGTCCTTCCCTTTTTGTAAATAAGATGACAACAGTGTGAATTGTAATAGAAAAGAACAAACTTCACAAAATGTTATACCTTTATTTTCAAAATAGCATTTTATTTACCTTGTTAATGGACACTACCAAAGCTGGTTCCACTTTACCTTCGATTTCTTCTGGAGTGTAAAAACAATAGAGTTTACCCCCTCTTAAAACACAATACAACCTTCTCCAACTAATCAGACCTTCTACCATTTGCTGAAAAAGAAAAATCAAGAAACTCTCAACTTTAAATCATTATTTATCATCTTAACTCTAAATTCAAAAAAATACTTGAATTAGCAAAGTTAGTTTTTTGAAATGTTTTAATGTGATAGAGTTACCCATTAATTTACTATACAATAAGTCAATAGCCCAAAGTAAAAAAGTAAGTTTGTATCAGAGAAGAAAGGTGTGGAATTCTCAAAAGCATTAAGCAAAAGAGGTAATAATTATCACATAACTTTTATATACATAAAATCATAAATCAATGCAGTTTTAGAGAAGCTAGTCTATTAAAAATTAGTGATTGGAATTCCACAGCAATTCACGTAATGACGCAGGAAAAGTATAAAAATAACTGAATATTCAAAATAATTGAATATTCAAAATATTCCCTTACTGTTCTCAGAACACTGGAAAATGTTGACTTCCCTGTAAGAATGCAAATTTTCTTTCCTCTTAATGGAATCTTTTTTAAAAAGCTATTGATCCATTGAGGCCCATAATTAATTATTTACTGAATACAAATAACTATGGTTATAAATAAATTAGGAGTAGGTGGCACAGAGGCAGCTTTGGAAGCCCAGAGGCCTAAACTGTGCCAAAAGCTGTCGGCCAGAAAGGCCTTCATGTGAAAGGTGTTGAGCAGTCCTCATCAGTTTCCACAAGGAGTCCTCTGGTACTGATTATCCTGTTACTGCTATTAATGAAGCCGAGGAACCTGGAAGAGTAGCCCCTTAGCCATCAAAACTGCATCAGACCCCTCCCCCTCCCTACCTTCTCACTCCCAGCTGCACCCTCCCCCACATTTGATGTCTAACAAGGAGAGAACTGTCATTTAAGAGAAGACTTTATTAAAAAAAAATACTTCACAATTTCAGAATGCCAAACAACTGCCAGGATATTAAGATCAAAATTAGAGCTATAATTGTTGCAGGATATTTAAAGTTCTCTAACCTGCTGATTAAGAAATCCTGCAAAGGCATCCTCAGCCATACAAGCTGGTTGGGCGACTAATCGGCAGCACATGTTGCCATACAAGGGAAGCCAAAACGAAGACTCTTCTATTTAAACGAGAAAAAAATCAAGTTATAAATATATGTTTATTTCAGGTCATTATTATACATTTTGATTATTTTTACAATTTTTTTTGCTTTATGTAAGAACATATGTAAAGGTTCATCCTGCTCCAATGACTGCATTCAATGACAAAATCAAATAAAAGAAAGCAGTCAGGACAGGATGATATTAAACTGATAGTTTACAGCATGCTATCACCTGGAGTAGACATGGAACTTTTAGTCTCTTGATCTCTTGTTTGATCTTAAAGTAATTAATCAATGGAGGTAGTTCAGGGCATATAAGTAAACTCATGTATTTTAAAAAACATCCTAATAAAGTGATTTTTGTTTGTCAAATTCTACTTTTTGCTCTGATTTTCATTATAATAATTAGCAAAGTGATGCTCTGAATAAAACACTTCAGGGCACAACTTTATGATAAGAATTTAATAATAACCCTTTTGACCTTTCCCCTTGTCCCTTCCCTTACTGAACAACTCAGGTGTAAGCCATTATGTGGAGTCCACCACAATGGGTATCTGTGCCAGGAGTTGGGCAGGGGGTGGGCAGGAAGCAGTAGTGTGCCAGAGCTGGGTGCTGGGGCCAGTCAGGGTAAGGAGGGTGAGTGGGAGAGCTGCCTGGCATGAGGAATCAGAGCCTGAAGGGGCTGAGGAGGATGGATCACATGGGGAATATAGAACCCAAAAGGGGTCTCTGCTCAGTGGGCGGCCTGGCGTGGGGAGGAGGGGCCCAGGTAAAGTAAGGAGGGTATCTGTGTGCGGTGCTGCCCAAGTGAGGTGTCCGAATCCAGGGAAATTAAGAAGAGTGCGGGGGGCGGTCCAGCCACGGGAGTCAGTTTGAGAGTAGCGAGGGGACCATTCACACATTTGGTGACCCAGAACAGTGTGTCAGAGCCTGGGGAGATGGAAATGCAAGCAGAGAGACAGCAGGGTATGGGGTGTCAGAGCACAGCAGGCTGATGGTGTTCACATGGGCTGAGGAGGGCAGCCCTTGGGGGGGCTGTGTGAGCCTGAGCAAGGTAAGGAGTATCCCTGTGGGGCCAGGGGCAGCCCAGAAGGGGAGTCAGAGCCCCGGCAGGAGAGAGAAGCAGTTATGTGAGAAAGATGGAAAATGGTTGCTTTTAAGGAGACTGACCAAAGAATAAAAAGCATTAAAGATAATAGAAGACAGGTTTCTCACTGTCAGAGGAAGGAATTACAAATGTGCAGAATGAACTCTTTGGTATTGGATTAGAACTAGACATACTGGTGTGAACTCATGGTTTTCAACATACAGAGATTAAGAAATGCATGACATACAGAGTGAAGTGAGTCAGAAAGAGAAAAACAAATACCGTATGCTAACATACATATATGGAATCTAAAGAAGAAAAGATGGTTCTGAAAAACCTAGGGTAAGGACAGGAATAAAGACGCAGACATAGAGAATGGACTTGAGGACACGGGGAAGGGGAAGGGTAAGCTGGGATGAAATGAGAGAGTGGCATGGACATATACACACTACCAAATGTAAAATAGATAGCTAGTGGGAAGCAGCCGCATAGCACAGGGAGATCAGCTTGGTGCTTTGTGACCACCTAGAGGGGTGGGATAGGGAGGGTGGGAGGGAGACGCAAGAAGGAGGGGATATGGGGATATATGTATATGTATAGCTGATTCACTTTGTTTTACAGCAGAAACTAACACACCATTGTAAAGCAATTATACTCCAATAAAGATGTTTAAAAAAAAAAAGAACAAATGCATGACAGGACTTCCCTGGTGGTGCAGTGGTTAAGAATCCACCTGCCGATGCAGGGGACATGGATTCGAGCCCTGGTCCGGGAAGATACCACATGCCGCGGAGCAACTAAGCCCGTGCGCCACAACTACTGAGCCTGAGTTCTGGAGCCTATAAGCCGCAACTACTGAGCCTACATGCCACAGCTACTGAAGCCCATGCACTTAGGGCCCGTGCTCTGCAACAAGAGAAGCCACCACAATGAAAAGCCTGCACACTGCAATGAAGACCCAACACAGCCAAAAATAAATAAATAAATTTAAAAAAAGAAATGCATAACAAAATATATATACATGTACGTCCACTGAGAGGGCCTAGGAAAAGTGACACCTAATAGTGACAGTCTAATAGCAATGAATATACCTATAGCTCAGATCATGTCTTCTAAATATTATTTCTATTAAAAAGAACCAGTCTTCCTTGGAGAAACGGATGACTCCAGGACTGGGGCAGGGAAAGTACATGATGAGCTTGAAATATCTTGTTATGCCTTACACAAGGAAGTACCCAATGAATGAGAAGGACATGTAAAAAGACACAGAAGCCATCTTGAATGCGCTCCCATTGGCCAAAATGGAGACAATCTGAATCTTAAACAAGATATTAGCAGATTATAATGCACTGAATAAAACTGTAAAACATGAGTCCATGTTGATATAAATATATCAATGAATAAGTTGAAAGTCGAATAAATATACTTAGTTTCAAAGTATCCCCCTCCCACACATAAAATATGTATTAATTACAAAGAGGAAAACAAAAAGAGTAACTTAACAGTAGAGAAGCTTAACAGACACCACCCTAATCAAGTGAACATCATCAGTAATGGGATGAATCAAAAGATGCCACCTGATAGAATGCAATGAGAACGCAGCATCACCTCTGTGATATTTCTGCCAAAGACGCATATCCTGAGTCTCAGTCCAAGAAAACATCAGACGAACCCAAACTGAGGGAATTTCTACAAAATAACTATGATGTTTAAAAATGTCATTCAAGGTTATGAAAGCCAAGGAATGACTGGAGAACTGATCTAAATTGAAAGAAACTAAAGAGGCATGATAATTAAATGCAATGCGTGAATCTGCACTGGATCCTTTTGTCATAAGGGACATTATTGGAGTAACATTTGAATGGTGTCTGTATTAGTAGAAATAATAGTAATGTGTTAATGCTGACTTGAATAGCTGTAGTGATGTAGCCAGATGTCTTTTAGTAGGAACAGGTATTAACATATTTGGGAGTAATGAAGCATCAGGTAAGCAACTTGTTCTCATATATTTTGGGGGGAAAAATCTTGATATTCAACTTTTAACTGTTCTGTAAGTCTGCAATTGTTTTAAAAAGTTCTTTCAAAAAACATTAAGATAGTCCTTTAATGGAGTGTGCAGGTAGGTATACAACCTTTATAACTGTATGGAAGGAAAGCACTGCATAATTTATTCTGTGTATTGGGGTATAAATAAAAATGCAACATACGGTCCTATGTTCACACTGGACCACATAAAAAATATCTGTAAAGTTTTCACTGCACCCATGTTGGTAACTGCCTATTAAAATGACTAACCATTGGCTGTTACTATCATTGACCAAAAGGTCTTAGTAAGTCTGGAAAATAAAACATTTTTTGTAAAAATACAATTATTTAATATATAGAGGCAGTGTAGCCAAGGCTTGACACATCAGTTAAATGAAAAAGACCAGCATAAATGAAGAGCACAAAGTTAACACAAAAACAGTTTTTTAACAATTTACCTGCTCAACATTCTACTAAAGAATAGCATACCACAAATTGTCTGGGACTATTCAACTCTTTGTTAAAGCTGCTGTCTTTTAGAAACAAAGGGTTTGATCTGAGAGAAATAAGTGTATAAATACAATAAAGTCAATGATTTAAAAATGCAGACATAAATAAATGAGAATCTCCTTTTCTAAAATAGGCAGGAAATGAAATAAAAATTCTATAAAAGCATGCATCTATGTAATACAATTGAAATCACCCTTGTGATTTATGAGTTTAAAGTTTGAAAGCGAATTTATTTATTTATTTATTTATTTATTTATTTTTGCGGTACGCAGGCCTCTCACTGTTGTGGCCTCTCCCCTTGCGGAGCACACAGGCTCCAGACACACAGGCTCAGCGGCCATGGCTCACGGGCCCAGCCGCTCCACGGGATGTGAGATCCTCCCGGACCGGGGCACAAACCCACGTCCCCCGCATCGGCAGGCGGACTCTCAACCACTGCGCCACCAGGGAAGCCCCAAAAGCGAATTTCTTTACATAGCAAACCCAGATTTATGAATGGCTTTTTTTTAAGTTAGGATCCACCTCCTAAAGAAACAGAATCATAAATGATTAGTTTTTCAGACCAGTCACAATCAATAATGTATCTGGAACCTAAATACCACATGTAACAGTGTGCTTCTCTAGTAAAATAAGTTCAGATTTCATGGCACACCAAGAAAAATAATTCCTTCCTCACTGCAGACCTTGAAAAGATATACTGGATGTAAAATTCTTTGCTCTACAGATCACATGCCACATACACTGCAATCACCACTTACTTCCTACATAGGTTTCTCTACAGCTCATGACCACTGTGGAATAAAGCACAGTCACAGCTTTTTCTCCCTACTTCTGACAAGAAATACAGCATCTAGGCTATTCACTTAACTTGCCCGAGTATCAATTTCTCATTCTTAAAATACTACCTATTAAGTACTAGGGTTGCTGTGAAATCACATAAGATAATGTGTGCATGACATTTATCGCTGTGTCTGGCATGTAAAAGATGCTTCTCATAATTTCATACCCAGGGCACTCTCACTCCCCAAACCATATCCTTTCCATTTCTCAATGCTGTCTTTCTGCTCTTGTGCAACACATTAATCAAAATACTTAATTCTTCTTTTCTAACCAAAGGTGGTATTAGGACAAGATGAAATGAAACAGGAAGTGAAAGAGCAGTTTGACTTTTCATTACTTAAAGATTTTATCTAATTCATCTGTAGTTTCAGATGGGGAGCAAAATGGAGTTTAAAAACAACAGCAACAACAAAAACAAAACACAGGCAAGAGGAAGAATCGATAACATCTCAGTTCCATGTGAGTCAATCTTTACAATGTGGTTTCATTGTTTTGTAAAAAGTATAAAAATTTCTTGATGACAAATATAAGCCTTAAGATATCATTTTGGCTTTTTCCTTAAACTAGCACAAGTAATAAAGTTGAGTTATAAATTTCAAAAATCTTGTATTTCCTCTTTATTTTATAGTATTTGGTAGACACTGACATAAATTTATTTAGGAAACCCTATTAAACATAGATTTATTAATGAATAAATCAGAGGGTGGATTTTTTCTGTATAAAATTTTGTTTCTTTTTAATTACAAGCTTTCTTTTTTTTTCAAAATATAATTGATTTACAAGATTTTAATTTACACACATTTCTAGAGATATACCTATCACATCAAAAGGGTTAGGCATATAGGTTAGTGTTCTTGAAATTTTTTTCTGTGGAATCTACAAGTTCCAATGTCAACAGGTGTTGGGTATTATTGCTGTAAGCACAGGTCTTTTCACAGTTTTTAACATGCTAGTCTTTATTATGTTTCTCAAAGAAAGAAGTATACCACATAGTTCCCATGCTTATTTGCTCGGGAGCATTTTATTAAAGGAGAATCTAGTAATATCTTATAGAACACTGAAGACGTGACACTGCTACAATCGATGATTTCTTTGTGAATTTTATTCCCTTCCACAACCTTTCAGGTGACTTGGTTGAAAGAATGGGACCTTTCATCACCAATTCCATTATTCACACATCGATAGTATTTTGAGTCTTTAGGTGTTTTATCAGTAATCGTGCCTAACCGGAATGCATAGCAGAAAGAGCACAGCCTTTCCTGGATTACTTGAAGTCTGGCTCGACCACTGGCTAGCTACATAATCTGGCATGTTACATTCTCTAAGCTGTATTTTACTCATTTGTAAAATATAAATGATAACAAAATGAGGAACTTGTGAAAGCACACAGCTAGCCAGTGCTAGAGCTAGAATACGAATCTAAGGCTGATGGCTCCAGTCTCCACTATTAATCACTTCACTGTGATGCTCCCTTATAACTACATCTCACAGAGACTAAGAATAAAAACTGCTTTAACAGTGTTCATTTATTTATTTATATTTTATTGTGGTATGAACATGTAATAGGAGATGTACTCTCTCAACAGATTTTTAGTGTACAATACAGTAGAGTTAACAAATGTTGTAATGTTGTACAGCAGATCTCTAGAACTTATTCATCTTGTATATCTGAAGCTTTAGATCTGTTTATTAGCAGCTCCTCCTTTCTCCTTCTCCTAGCCCCTAGGAACTGCCATTCGACTCTCTGCTTCTAATAGTTTGTCTATTTTAGATACCTCATATAAGTGGAATCAGGTAGTATTTGTCCTTCTTTGACTGGTTGTTTCAGTTAGCATAGTGTCCTCAAGGATCATTCATGTTGTCACATATTGCAGAATTTCCTTTTTCAAGGCTGAATAATATTTCAATGAACAATGGCACATAATAGGCACTCAACATATGGTGATAATATTGGTAATTCTAGAGAACTAACACAAATGGAATTAAACAAACTTAATTTGCCAAGTATTCTGATAAAATTGACAATGCTAATACTATTGCAAACTTCAAGTTTTGGGTGATAGAAGGCTTGATTAGATTGTTCAGACCAATCTTCCCACTGAAAACTACTAAAAATGCTGAACCAAATATATTTTAAAACTTTTCCCCAGAGCAAGAAAGAGGTAACAAAACTATAATAAACTTCCAGTACAAATCTGATGAGAACCAGTGAGTTAAATGAGCACAGAAGCTGTGTTTGTCCTGAGAGCATTTGCCAATCCCAGAAAATCTCAATTTATGACTTAATGATCCTGCAAGACGAGGGAAGCAGAACAGAAATCACAGTCTAGGACCTGAACAATGTAGGCAGATTAATGGGACGATTCTCCTCATATTAAACTGATATCCCAAAGGAATCACCAACAGGGTAGTGGTGAACCATGAGTAAACCAACCTAACTGCCCAGGATTCCCACTGCCTGGAGGTAGGGATGAAGGGATGCAGAGAAACTCAGACATGGTCTTTGGATAAAGTGAGGCCAGAATGATAGTCTCACCAGGTGCCTGCGAGATGCAAAAAGAGACACCGAGCATTAATTTATTCCTCTATGTAGACTTTCAATTACAATGACAAGCACATGAAGATAACTAGACGTGCAAGGAATTGAGACATCATGACTGAGAACCAGTTAAAAAAAAAAAAAAGAGAGAAACTGATCAAGAAAGACTTTATATATCTGAATCATTAGCCATAGACTATAAAATAGCTATGCCTACTCTTTTAATAAAAACCTAAAAGATAATATTAACAATATATGCAGAGAATAAAAAGTGAAAAGTGGCATAGCAGATTTGAAAAAGTCAAACAGAACTTCTAGAAATAAGAAGTACAATAAGTGAAATGAAGAACTTGGTATACAGATTTATCAGCAGATCAGACAGAGCTGCAAAGAGAATAAAGGAAACAGAAGATAGTGCATTAAAAATCCAGAAAAGCAGCAAAGACAGACAAAAAGATGAGGAATACATCATAAAGGGTACTAAACATAGAGGATACAGTCAGAAAGACTAACATAGGTTTACTAGGAATGCTACAGGCAGAAAGGCAATGGAATGGATCAGAGGCTGCCTGAATAGACAAGTAAGATTTCGTCCAGAAATAATGAAAGACATCCATCAATTTAAAGAAGTTCAAGGATGTCCAAAAGCAGCATAAATAAAATTAAATTCTACACCTATAGCACGGTGAAGCTTCAGAAAACCAAAGACAAAGAGAAAATTAAAAGTTACCTTCACAGAAGCAACACACTGACAAATGATTTTCGACAGCCAGTACGAGATGCCAGAAGGTACTGGAATTATATCTTTAATATTCACAAGGTAAAATATTAAGGTTTTTTCATCATGTAAAAAATATCTTTCAAGAATGAAGCTAAACAAAGTCATCTTCAGACATACACAAAGAACTAAGAAGTATGATATTAGCAGAACAAACTAAAATAAATTCTAAGGATTACACTTCAAGCAGCAGGAAAATAATACCAGATGTAAGGTATAAGACACAAGCAGTACATGGAAACATGCAGGCAAATCTAAATAAATATTAAGTGTATAAAACATCTTGTGAAATTTAAACACCAAACAGAATTATAATATATAACAACAGCACATAGGTCAAAGAAATGGAGTTTATTCTAAAGTCCTTGCAGGAGCTGAGAAAAAGGTAAAATTATCTTTTAATTTTAGACTTAAGTATGATTAATAAAATTTCTAGAGGTAATGTCTAAAAGATGAGAAAAAGAATTATAACTTTAATTAGAACAAGGAAAAACTGAAATGATAAAACTATCAATCCTTAAAGACGCAAGAAAGAGAAAACCACCATGGAATAAGTAAGACAAACAGAAAACACAGAATATGATGGTAGATTTAAACTCAAATACTTAATACCATATAATATGGGTTATAAACCATTTGACACTGAATGTAAAACACTGGTTTGATTTATCTTGGTTTTTAATATACAACCATCATAGACCAGAGATATCTCTCACTAGCCAATACTTTTGTCAGTGTTTACACATATATTGACATAACATATACTGATGTAATGAGTGATCCACAGAATCACTCATGCCTACCTTCTGTTGGTAGCAAGCAGAGGATATATGGGAAGGTAGGGCTAAATTAATCTTAAACCTTTTTCTCTAGATGATAATTTGTAGTTATAGTTTATTAAAAAGAAATATATAGCAAGGTGAAGAAGGGAGGTAAGTGATTAGAAGATTTGTAAAACAGTAGGAGCACTGTCCACGCTCCAAGATTATTTTTACCTATGATGAAAAATATAGAGTAGTGTTGGTAAAGTAGTTTGGAAATATGATTTGGGTTACTTATTCTTTTTCATTTTTTGAAGTACAATATATAAAATTATATACTACCTTCCTTATACCTTTTGTTGTAAAGATAGATGGCTCTTCATGCTTTTACTGGCTTCCTCAATTTCAAATTTAAAAATAAGATACATCTTTGACAACTAGAAGAGTGGTAAAGTCACCAATTTCAAGTCAAAGACAAGGATTCAGAATATGCAAAACCTTTCTGTTCTCACCAAGCAAGCCTCACAAACAAATCTCTAGCAAACAGTAGAAAGAGAAAAATAAACTTTCTGCTTTTGGGGAAAAGGGACAGACATATTTTCAAGAATCCACAGAGTTACTCGTGACTACATTATTTAAGCCAATAATCACTTCAGGGGAACATATTAAAATTAAAAATTATTACTGTCACCACACATATATTGATATAACATGTATAATAAGTAAAATATAGACTGTACTTACCATCCCCATTAATAGACAGATTATGGGTCTTGAAGCTATTCTCAGCACTTTCCAAGCTCAGGGTAGTATGAGCTAGCAAACTGTACTTTGCACCACTAATAGTGAGAAAAAAGACATGTTTTAAGTATTTTAGTATATTTTCCACTACATAAAATATTTAGATGTTCAACAACAAAATAAACAACCCGATTAAAAAACGGGCCAAGGTCTTAAACAGACATTTCTCCAAAGAAAATATACAAATGGCCAATAAAAACATGAAGAGATACTCAAGATCATTAATCCTTAGGAAAACACAAATCAAAACCATAATGAGAAACCACTTCACACCCATTAGAATGGCCATTATTAAAATAAATAAATAAAAAGAAACAAAGCAACGAGTGTTGGCCAGGATGTGGTCAAACTGGAACCATTGTGCACTGCTGATGGAAACATAAAATGGTACAACCACTATGGAAAACAGTGTGGTCATTCTTCAAAAAATTAAAAATAGAATTACCATATAAAGTCTGATGAGAATTTTTATTAATTGGGCCAGGTGATATGTTTCATAAACCTTCTTTGTCTCTTACTAAATATGTAATAAAATCTCTATCACAAAAATATATATATACATGTAGCAAGAATGCAATGCATGCACGCACTTCTTTAATAAACAATGGCATACCGCACGGAATGCTGTTCCCTGGGAGAATGCCTCTTGGTTTTGGGTATTTTTTTCAGTTTTATTGAGAAATAATTGCCATACATTATAAGTTTAAGGCTTAAAGCATTTGATTTATTGGTTTGATATATCTTGGTTTTTAATATACAACCAATATAGACCAGAGATATCTCTCACCAGCCAATGTTTTTTGTCAGTGTTTACACAGGAAAATTTATGTTTCTTTCTCCAAAACTCAACAAAAAATTTTTAACAAAACAATGCATGAGTAGAATTTTAAGTTACATTCTGAATACGATTGGTATACTTCAGACTCCTGTGTAGATTACTGGGAAAGTCCACTAAGTATCAACAAATCTCCACTGTTTCTAGAGCTAAGAGGCACTAGCCTCATTCTCAGTGTGGGCCATTCTCTGCTATTTTCACTTATCCTGAACAAATTTCTGTAGTGCCTTCCATAATTAGCTCTTATTTTTCCCTACTGTTACATAAAAAGTGCCCCCCCCAAAGTGGAGGAAGTATTTTAAAAAACTGTGGAGAAACAATAGGAGCAATTGAGAACAGCAATTAGAATGAAGAGTAAATACTACTACACACAAAACTGCCTATTAACAATCATATGAGTTGTTTGGTGATCAGGGCACAATGTGTTAAACATGATCTCAACATGATAATTTGTCAACTGATACGTAGGTTTTATGCAACTACATTACAATCGTTGCTACTTAAAATAATGGTAAATAGACTCCTTATCAGCATTTTAGTGCAAAACATGTTATTTTCAGGAACAGATTATTGCCAGTAAGTGGATAAGTGATGCTGCGTGTATCTGACAAACAACAAGACGGCCGTGTGGCTGGAGTACAGTGAGGGAGAGTGAGACAAGATGTCTAAAAGGTAAGAAGGGGCAGACACTCTACACTGCAGTAGGGCATGCCCTGTAGAGCATGATAAGGACCCTGGATTTTATTCTGAGTGAGATGGGAAGCAAGTGGTAGATTTGGAGCAGAGGCATATGCTATGATATGACTTGTATTTTTAAATGATCTCTCTGGCTGCCATGTTGAGAACAGACCACAGAGGCCAAGATTGAAAATGGTAATGCCAACTAGAAAGTTACTGCACCTCACCAGTCCAGAGCTGATGCAGGCCTGGAACAGGGTGGTAGTTGATGGGGTGGTGAGAAGTGCTAAGATTCCTGATATAGTCTTAAAGTTGACCCAATGTGGTCATGGGATGTAAAAGAAAGGACAGAGTCAAGGACAACTCCAAGGCTTTTGGCCTGAGCAACTAGAAAAAGCGAATTTTCATTAACTGCAAGGAGGCTGACTGAGAGAATGGATATGGGAAGTAAGAATTTAGTTTTGAACAGATTAAGTTTGAGAATGGGTTGTAGGGTAGGCAGGTGGATATATGAATCTGCAGTTCGGAGAGGAAAAACTATTCAAGAAATTAAATTTGGGAGTTAACAGTAAATAGATGAAATTCAATGAAAGTTAGTTAAATAAAATGTGCGAACTGAATATTGGGACACAAGTACTCCATCATTTCAGATTAAGTTGAAGAGCAATGAACAAAGGAGACAGGCAAGGGACTGTCACTGAGGCAGAAGAGAAACCCCGAAAGTGGTATCCTGGAAGCCAAGTTCAAAAAGTGTTTCAGGAGAGTGATCAGTTGTGTTGAATAATGCTGAAAGGTCCAGGAGGAGGAATAATGATAAATGACCATGGTATTTGGCAACATGTAGATCACTGCTGACCTTGACAAGAGCAGTTTCTGAACGATGGATGAAACTTGACTGAAATGGTTCAAGAGAGAATGGGAGGACAAAAAGTGGAGATAGAGAATATAAAAAACTTTTCTGTAAAGGATAGCTGTTAAATGGGGCAGAGGAAATGTGAGGTATTTCAGCATGTTTGTATGTTTTTGGAAATGATGCAGGAGAAGAAACACTGAAGATGTAGTAGAAGTGGGGGACATGTGCAGGAGCCTACTTCTGTGTACTTGAGAAGATGGGATCTAGTGTACAGGTAGGTGGCCTCAGATGGAGCAAAGGCAGTTACAAGGAAGGAAAGCAGCAAATAAATATACAGATGCAGGTAGGCTGATACATTTGGTTGATGGAGGATATGCAAGTTCTCTTCTGATTACTTCAGCAGCATCAATGATATAGGAAATGAAGTCATCAGCTTTGAATAAGGAGTGGAGAGGAGTGGGTACTGGAGGTTTCATAAGAGAGAGTGACACAATGTGAAATACTCTGACGAGAGGTAAAGTGGAGGGCTACGGACACTTAGTAGGACTGCACATACTGGAACTCACTTAAGGTTAGTGATCCCTCTAAAGTGAGACCAGTCAGTATGACTGTTTTCTCCAGGTTCCTCATCTATTCCTCGTGAGTGCAGGTGCAGAAGAGCTAAAGGCAGGATTTAACCAAGGTTGAAGTTTTTCCAAGGTTAAGTATGACAAAAGGAGAGAAATGCTAGGAAAGAACAAAATGGTAAATCATAGAACTTTAGCTAAGTTGGAGTCAGAGTACTGAAAGGAGAAAGCTGGAAACGTGGGAGGTGGTAGATAGTGTGGGACACTACTACAGAGACCAGACAAGACCTAAGGTACAATTGTGGGGTGGATGGCTAAAACAGGCATGAGAACAAGATCACTGGAGGCAAAGAGGTCATCAGACTTAGAGGTCAAAGTATTAGATGGACAGTCTATATGTATTTTAAATCCAACAAGAAAAATACCTGAAATAGTGATGAGAGGCACAGACTGGGAGAGAAAGAGAATGAAGATACTTTGCGTTTTATTTTTAGGAGTGATGTAATTTATTCTCGCTGACCACTAAAAACATTAGAGTACGCGTCACTTCAGGAATAGCATCATTTCCATACACAGTGCAGTACGAAATACTGCTTTTAGTGCGCACAGGAAGTAGCTATGTTATAGGCTGTGCATTTGTACTGAGTGCGCTGGAGAGGTGACAACCTGTGCGACAAAAGAGGCGAAAATTATGTGATGACCCAAGTATATGTTTAATTTTTTTCTCAGGCCTTAAAAAGTAATTGTAACTAAGACACCTTTTCCTCAACTACTTTAAGGTAAACATGTAATACATTTGCCTCTATTTCCAATGAATTACACATCTTAAAATAACAATACAAAAAACATTATTGATAACCTCCCCTAAGAATAAGCTATGAGAGAGACAGTTGATAGTGGTCATTAAAATGATCATGTGAAGACTGTAATAACTCAAGAAGAAAATGTGTGTGTGTATATACATGCATGTATATGAATGTGTAGTATAATTATGAATATCTATCCCCAAGGCTAGGAATTTTAAAACCTGGAGGAAAAATATCAGTTCAAAATTATAAAAAGTATTTGATTTAGGGTGAACTATGAATACATTTTTTTCTCTTCTAGATTCTATTTCTCAAGTTTATATTACTTTTGTAATGAAATAATAAATGCCGTAGGATTTGTGAAGTGGTAGTAGGATGAAAACCTCCCCCAAAAATCAGAGACATGCAAAGCTTTGTAATACTACATCTTCCTATGTGCAGTTTAAGGCACTTTAACATGCAATATCTTTAACAGTTCACAATAGCTACTTCAGGTAGGCAGGGCAGATATTTCGGTCCATATTTTCAAATGACGAAACTGAAGTTCAGAGAATGTAATTGACTTGCCTATAACTAGCAAGTGGTACACTGGAAACAGAATCCCACTATACTTTACTTACTACCTTCATACTTCCTTAAGAATTTTGAGTGCAGGAAACATGACTTACTAACGTTTAAATCCAAAGTACCATGTGACATAACTGCTGAATTATAATTTCTAAGATGATTAAATGAATGAATAAACAAAATTATACCCAATAGGTGAGTAATTCCTTAGTTATTCTTGAACACTGCATTATCTTTCACACTACCAAACCATTAACACCACTGTTCCTCAAAACATAAATAATCCACTTATTCTGCACAAGGATATTTGTTTTGTAACTTCAATCTAATTTAAAATGTAGTATTGGGGCTTATTTTTTTTAATACACATTTTTGTCCAGTAAATAATCACTCTCAATTTTACTAGTTTTCACAATTGTTTAAAATTACAATTTATACAATGAAGAATAATGTACTAAATGGTTCTCAAGGAGCATAAAATAGTTAATTCAGCTATTAGAAACACTGGGAAAATCTAGCTACAGGAATTTCAGTAAGCTAAATTCCACAAATAAAATGAGTAAATGAATCACACCAGGGAGCATGCTAAAAATTACCAAAAATGTTCACTGTCTTCTTTCAGATCAAACAATACTTTATGATGATATTTCAAGTTACTTCATTTTTAAACCATGAGTAATTACAATGCCAATGCTTCCAAAATCAACAATGATCTCAGTTTTAAAACATTCTT